CACTCATTCAGCTCAGGAAAAATGCATATTTTTTCTATCATTCCTGTTTATGAGACGATTCTTCTTCACTAGACAAGATAACTGAAGATCAATGGTTTTCCACATATTTTTTAAAAAAGTTACATGGATCCTCCCATATGAGCATCAGTGTTTTTTCTATTTACACCTGTAAATATTGTGACTGAAATTTCCATTTGCTTCAAACCGGCCATGATAGATGATCTGACTACGCTACACCATAAAGGGTAACTGATTATTAGAGCTGAAAGGATTAATCTTTAAGTCCTTTAGCCCGATTGAAAGAAAATCCCTGGTAACTATTCTGATAATAGTATATAGTATATATATAGTATAATAATATCGTTAAAGGCACTTCTCAGGTAAAACATTGTCTGGTTCTTGCTCCTCAAATTCGAGGATTTGCTGCTTTTTTCTGTTTAATATCATTATAAACTGAATATATTTGTGTTCTAGGTTATTGGTCAGATAAAAAATCAGCTCAAATTCAACTTTAGGAAATTGTGATGGGTATTTTTCACTATTTGCTGACATTTTATAGATGAAACAACTAAATTGTTGTCAGATTAAGTGAAGTTAGTTACAGCCCTACTTTGATAATATCAAAAGTAAGAAATACATTTCTATGTTTGAACAATTTTTGACAATTTTCTTCAACTTTATTTTCTTGCAGGTTTGACTGAACATGAGATCCTTTCCCAAGCTGTGATTTTCATCTTTGGTGGGTATGAGACCACCAGTGTCACTCTCACGTACATCCTTTACAACCTGGCTACCAACCCTGAGGCGATGCAGACCTTGCATGAAGAAATTGATGCCAGACTACCGAGAGATGTACAGTAATTTTGCATGTGATTCATTGCAGTTTACTAACTTTTCATGTTCTAATCTTTGTTATTTTGTTGTGTAACTTTTGCCTCTAGGCTCCCATTTCATACGAGGATCTGGCCAGTCTACAGTACCTTGACCAGGTTCTTTGTGAGTCACAGCGTTTGATTCCCACAGCTCCTCGGCTTGAGAGGATGTGCAAAAAAACTGTCCAGGTTGGCAGCATCACCATCCCAGAAGGAACCCTGGTTGGGATTCCTGTGCACATTTTACACAAGGACCCACGCTTTTGGAGCTCACCTGAGCTTTTCAGACCAGAGAGGTAAATGTGCACTTTGCTAAGCTTTCACACTTAATCTATGAGCAAGAACCTTCTGTTCCTCCACAAGAAAATGTAATTACTGTAAAATGTAAGGACCCGTGTGTAGGATTCAGTGGCATCTAGCGGTGAAGTTGGAGATTGCAATCCCCATTGTTCCCATAAGACAAAACTGCAATATTGTGCAGCCTTAGTGCAAGTGCCTGACTTAAAATACTACCTGTGTGATGTTTATGTTCTGTCTGTATGTGCAGGTTCAGTAAAGATAGCGGAGAGGAGGTGAACCCGTATGCGTACATGCCGTTTGGGCTTGGTCCTCGTAACTGCATTGGGATGCGCTTTGCCATCCTCGTCATGAAGATGGTTCTTGTTCGTCTCCTGCAGAGTTACACTTTGGAAACATGCAAAGAGACCATGGTAAGAGTAACGCTCCGCTCACAGCAACACACATGTGCACGTGTTCATGTGCATTCAGACTGTCGTACTACTCAGCGATCGTGTCCCTAATTTCATATTAATTCCTTCCTTTAGATTCCGTTGGAGTTTGACTGGAAGATGCAGGCAACAAAACCAGTAAAACTCAAGTTTGTTCCCAGACAACAGTAGTCTAAGAGGGAGAAAATACACCTTGCTTCTGAATCAAAAGCAAACGCAAGCTTAAATAACTAATACTACTGCATCTTTTTATAGTTCAGTTCCTACAGAACCTTCACAACTCAAACATATTCCTGGGGGCCTTTTTGTAAGAGGCGGATTAGAGAATGTACAATAAATCCATCCGAGCATATCCGAGCATCAGTGTTTCATCTCTTGTTGCATTTGTTTTGTCTTTTAACACCATACCAGTATTTTATTTTATTACTTTACAAATTTGTCAATGCAGAAGAGTTTGATGCCAAAGTCTACCCATTTAATGCAAAAGGTTTGGGAGTAAATTTAGAGCACAGCCAGTAAACTAAAGCAGTCATAACACAGAATAGGAGTCGCAGATTGTATACTTTTCTTTAATAACTTTACAACAGGGTACAAACCGGGTCCACTCCTCTGAATGCTCTGTGAAAGGTCATTGTAAAACAGCTGAAGTCAGTTTTTGTGGGGTACAAGTGACTGAGGAATGACTGAGGTTTTCCAGTCTACATTCATAGCTCACACAAGTGGTGCAAATGTCCCACAAATAATCATTTAATAACTACATTTACTCAAAGAATGAGGGTTTCATTCCAAAATGAGACATTTATAAGAAAGTTGGATACGTGGTGTGATGACAATTCAACAGTGTGAGTGAAGACTGGTGAGGTTATAGCTATCTTTGGCCTCAGTAATGGTGATCTGTGGTACTTTAAATGTTAAATGTTGAGAAATGAACATAAAAGTAACTAAAAGGAAGTCATTTTCTCCTTTAGCATTCTGAAATAGAAGGCTGCATTTTTTTTGTTTATCCAATTTAGCTGATAAATAGATAATTAATTAGTGTTTGAGATATTGTTAATTTGTCATTCGAAATAATAATTGAAACCATGAAGCTATGAAGGTTAAGGGAAACCTCAGTGTCTGTTTGTGGAACCACAGACGAGTAACAGTTCAGATAACAGCCAGCAGAGGGCGCTGACATGAGCAGTGTGTCTGTCAGTCTGTGTGCATTACAAATAAAGTTTACTTTACTCGTTTTCTTATTCAGACTTACTAAAACGTAAAAAGGAACATTCAAATTAACTTCATAATACACTGACTTGAAACCTTTCACTCGAAATCACAAAAATATGCTGGTTTCATGAGAAATGTCATTGTTGTCATTGTGTGTCTTGCTTTAACACTGCTTATTTGTTAGAAAGCAAGGTCCTGAAAATAATCTTTCTACCTGTAGTTGAAATCTGCAAAATTATCTGCCACTGCACCGAAATAATGTTACTGAAAAACCCTAAATTGCACATGAGGACAAACGGTTTACTTGGTTTGAAGAAATCCAATCCCTTGCAGCAATATTCTGTAAAAAAACAACAACAAAAAAAACACATTTGCTACATTTGTTAAGATGGACCTCTTCTGAAGAATATCTGTGTCTGATGCAGGGAAATTTGGCCCAGTTGGCAGATTGTTGATACTAACCATTTATAATACAAGTGTGCATACACACTCACACATTCATGCACAGACAGGAGAGCAGCACAGGCTCACATACAAACATCCAGGTTGTAAACAAAAGCTCTTTTTTTTATCAAAGAGAGAAGTATAAAACTGCACTGCCACAGTGCGTTCTTGAAAAGCTCTATTGAGTGACTACTGCATTAGAAAAAGCAACATTAACGCAAAAATGTGGGATAAAAAAGTTAAAAGGATTATATTACAAAGCCTTTTGGAGTCCTGAGTTTATCAAACATAAACAAAACAGACAAAAAGGCCAGAGTCCATATATCATAGAAATACATTAAAGAATAAACAAAACAAACAAAAAAATTGACAATTTTTCCTGCTTGTTATCAGATTTCCAGCACAACAGGCAAAACTGATTGAGAAATACGTTTTCCACACATCCATGGCTCTTGTTCGGGACAATACACATTATGCAGCATATGTGTTGTTGTTGACAGCATGTATAGCGCTTCAAATGAGCAGCATCTTCATGTAAAGCGTGAAACTATACTTTACACATTTTTAAGGTGATTGAAGAAGTTTAAGAACTTGTCCAAGTAAATGATAGTACTTGATGATTTCAGTGGGGTTTTTCTGACACAAAAAGTGAAAGCATAATCTCTTGATAAATAAAACTATAAAATATGTTTGTGATGCTCTGAATTAACACCAATGTGCTTCATCCCTAACTGGACACAGATGTGAGGAAAAGGACTGTCAGGAGTGCAGGCGGATGGCGGGTCAGTTAACAACGGTTTCAGTTCCCATTTAAGACACACTCTTCCTCAAATTCAAATTCCCTTCCTTTGCTTCTAGAGCCTTGTTCAGATTAGATTACATCATGCTGACACCATGTCCTTAATGTAAACTTGAACCTTGAATTACTCGGGTGAAGACGAAACATTTTGCCTTACGCTAACAGATGAAGAGACACTGACAACTGTGAGCAGTCCAGTACAACCACAGCCTTCTACTGTTGGCCACTGGAACACTTGTGGGTTAAGTACCTTGCTCAAAAGGCACCTTGGCAGTTGCTACTGAGAAAGACTTCACTTTCTTTTACTCTGCGAATTAAACCCAAAACCTTCTGGTAACAAAAACAATCTTCACTAACCTATAAATCACTGCCTGACGTGTAACCTAATCCTTAAATTACTAACAATATTACGTTATTGGTGAAGAAATAACTTTTGTATTTGCATTACATTACAGGCTGACACATTTAAAAAATCAGCTTCATTGGGTTCAGTCTTCCTCAAATCACAAGTGGGTTATCCATGATGGATTTAAAGAGCTGCTACAGATATCTGACAACGGCTGATTTAACATAAAGGGACAAAAAACTGACATGGGAAGCAAAAACTACCTGGAACTGAACCCATCTTATGATTTTTGAAATTATTTTCAGCCATTTAGACACTGGTGCTGGATCAGTTTATTCGTGTCTATGTGACGTTTGAGGAGAGTGAGGCTAGTCCAGCCTGCTGTGAGAGAAAAATAACAAAAAGGCTGAGGTCCGGATGCACACACAGCGATTTGAGGCAAGTGAAGTGTATAGGCTCCAAACTCTACCTGCTGTTTCTTAAAATTTTACCAGCCAAATATTTACAACATATTTAAAAATTTAAACAGCCACAGATCAAATAATACCTGCTTTTGCCTTGTGGTAATTTATACTATAATAACAATCAAAAGTTCCAGTCCAGAAATGTTTGAATCTGTTTCTCTTCAGATGGCGTCAGACTGCAGATGTTCAGGATTAGCTGGGTGTTGAGACCAACACAGCTTTAACATCCGCTATATAAATATATGAAGACCCATTAAGGCGTATTCACATTACAGCAGAAAAACAACAAACAACTACAATGCTAATGTTGCTAGCAGTAGAGTTGAGTAGGTTTCAGACACAAACAGTGTTTTTTGAACAAACCTGCTAGCCTGAAGAGGTAAATCAGTCCCGTATTTAGAGAAAACAGAGCAAAAATTAGAGAAAAGTCAGAAATAATAATACTTTTCTTCAGGTAACAGAAATATTTGCAACTGGTAACCTCTAAAAGTACAAGTATACTCCATCACAAGTGCCTGTTGGATGGTCAAATTGGAAACACGATCAGGATTACTCGATATCTAATCTGCCAAATCAGGTTATTAAAGGTCACTCATTCAGCTTGGCCTCATGATTATAAACTGAGTCAAACCACGCTTCTTTTTCAGCATCCCCTGGTTTCCGCTACAAAAAAAGGTGGGTATTAGCACCGTCCACTGACTAACTGCTGGTAGTATCTGGGCGTGGCTGGTCAATTTTTCCTAAATTATGAAACACAGCTGGCGTTGCTTCCATTCTGCGCTGCAAGTTGGCTGGTAAAATAATAAAAAATAATAAAAGACATTTGAGGTTTGGATGGGATGTTAGAATCCATCAGCCGTGTTCACTGAGAGATGGTCCTGCCTTTGTCAGCAACAAGAGTTCGTTCCCCCTGCGAGGAAAAACCCTTCCACCGCTCTAAATCACTGCAGAGATTTGGCTGACATTCTCACTGAGAGCAGCTAGCAGTCCAGTGCCTTGCTCGAGGCCAGTCTGACTGGACTCGTCAGCTGCTGCAGGTATTCCGGTCCCTGACAGTCTCTGGAGACCACAACGCCAGCCCCAAGTTTCCCAACAGAGCATGCAGCTTCTACCGGCGGGGCTGGTGTCGGGAATGGCGAGGCAAGGAGGAAGGGCTGGAGGAGGAGGATGGGGAGCAGGGCGACATGGATGCCAGGGAGGCTGTTGCAGCGGCGTCCTCGGCCTCCTCCAGCTCCCCTCCTCCGTGGAGCTCCTGGCTGACGCTGGACTGTAAGGCAGCCGGGGTCAGCCACTCTTTGGGCAGGCAGCTCTGGAGGAATGGCACGCAGGAGCTGAAGTAGGCCAGGCGGTTGACCCAGCGAGGGATCTCCCTGCCACACAGGATCTGAGCAGAGGAGAAAGGGTGAGGGAGGAGTGGAAGAGAGAAAAAGTGAAGGGGTCTGAATACGTTCTGAACACACTTTGCTTTATTTTACTTGTAGTTTGTATATTTTTTTGTCAATGTAATGCACAAAATCAATATTTTTACTCCTCTGACTGTATATTATTTCTCACACTGTAACAATAGACCCATTTCACAGCAGCAAATGGAACAGAACCTTAATTAATGTCATTGGTAACACCTGTGTTTACCTTACTATTTAATGTCCAAATGGCTGCTGTGAAAAAGGTCTACACTGGTTTCAACAAAGACAATTTCACCACAGTTAGGCAGCAGAAATGTATGTTAATTATTGTATGTTTGTCGAGTCCAATAAAACACCAACGCTAAGCAAAGCTTGAGGGCAGTAACATCTTTAATCAAAGTGCTGCATTGTAGAGGCAACCTGTTTTTAAAAACAGTTCATTCTAATAAAGTTACACTGGTGCAAGAAAGCTTCCAGTGTGAGTCTATATCAATGTTATAATCAACTTGGAATCTAATTTGTATTTCAGTATGAATTCCATGTAAATGTCCTTTTTGCTTTGTTCACTAAACAGAAACGCTTTCATGATCTACAAAAGTTTACTTATTTTGGTTTGTTACTGTTTTTAAAGTCAGAAGCCATCTGAAGGGGTAATCAGAGTCTTCTCGACTATAGCTGAGCTTGTTTGCGGAAGAAAGAAAATCTGAAACAATGAAAGCATAACCGGAAAATACACCCTACCATTCTCTTTGGAGGTGACCCAAGTGATTTCATTTCTGAAACTTCCAGGAAACCGTATTACATTTCCTGGCTTTCTAAAAATCACGAGACCTTCCAGAAACTCCATGACCTTTGGAAACCCAGACAGAGTAAAATGTGCCTCTGTGGTAGCGATGTACTCATCCGCTCCGCTGTAACTAACCTACTGCTCATACATGAATAGGTCTGCTTGGGGGAAGACCTTTCTCTCTCGCCTCCTTCCTCATCCTAGCTCTATCATTGCTATTACAGCATTATAGGCGAGTGGCTTCCAAGAAGCTCAAAGTGTTTCCCAGTCAAAGGCCTTAATTGTGCTTTTATCAAAACATCTACCAAAGCTGCTTTTTAATTTGCATGAGGAGACGGGGACAGTGGATTTGCCTCTAACCACAAAAACGTCTTACAGAGCAGTGGATTCAGCATGTTGTGCCATGTCATATGCAGCCAGCAGATGATACTACATTGTATGCTTGTTTATGCTGCAGCAACTGTTTACAGGCTTGTTCACCTCCTTCAGAGATGAGTGTGTTTTGACATGATGAAACACAGGCTCTCTAAAATGTAAATGACTCCACAGATGATCTCACAGATGAGCACAGCCTCAACTAAGAATTGGCAACCTACATTTAATAGAGAGAAACAGCCAATCCGTACAAATCACCAGGCGTAGTGTTTGGCTGACATAAAAAAGCTGGAGCTGCGAGATTCACACTGCAGTCATGTGTTTTCAGAAATACCCACTTATACTCACAAAGCAAGCTTTCACATTGCCAACATGTTTTTTTTAAAGCAGAAGTATGATTTCTGATAAAAAATAACTGAATAGCATGCAAGAGGCACAAGACAAATAAGGCTCTTTTTAAATCTTTTTAAACCCTTATCTTTGTCTGCAATTTAATAATGGCCAATAACGCCACCAATGTGACAAAACAATGGGCTTAAATGTGCTAAAACTCTTAGCGAGTCAAGTGAGTATTCTCTTTGGGTTTGTCACTACCAGCAACTCCTTTCACACTACACACCATTTGATCTATTCTAAAAAAGGTCCAGTGTGAAACACTTAGAGGCAGAAATTGAATATAATATTCATATGTTTTCATTAGTGTCTAATAAGAAGAATATAGGAATCTTTATGGGGTTCAGTAACTTGCACAAGGACACCTTGACATGTGGGGATCAAACCACCAACCTGCTCTACCGCCTGTCTGTCTCTTAGATGAACAACAGTGCCATGTAAAGATAATCCACTTACACAATGAGCCAAATGTTAACAGGGTACCGTATGTTGATTTGCTTCTCAAGAAGAGGACCGACATCAGAGTCACACACGTCAAACGATCTCTCTGGAGAATTAATTGTTATGCTTTGTCTTTCAAAGCTGCAACAACCATCCATGTGTCCAATCATTTTCTCCTCTATCTCTCTTTAAGTCAGCCTCCCATATTAACGAGGATACAGTAAACATGAGAATCAAATCCTTAGGGCTGGACTGCTTCCCTGTGGTGTCAGCTGTGTGTTTGTCTCTCTGTAGTCTTGTGTATATGTATATGTTTAAATCTGTGTGTATTATATTGATGTGATGCCTTTTTTTGTTTATATATGTCTTCATTTAAAACTGTGTATTTCTCTTTAAGAGTATCTTTAGATGTAGTATGTACATCTGTGTGTGTGTGTTATAATTGTATCTTTGGTGTGTGTGTGTGTGGGTGTGTGTTTGCCAGCTGGCTCTGCATGTCTGGGCTTGTATGAGTGTCTTAATCCCCATCTCAGTGCTAGATGCTAACTGTAAGACTCCCTGCTCATTAGTCACACCAGGATAAGCTGATTGAAAGTACACACTCATTTACACACACACATGCACACAGACAGAGAGAGAGACACACACACACACATCTAGTTCAAGTGCTTACATTCAGAACAGGAAAGACACAATCAAGAAATGTTTATTTGAGTGACCGTGTAGTTTATTTCTGCACGTCATATCAGCTAAGCTCTCAGCTATGGTGCTGTGCTGTAAAGTATATTTGTGTGCATTTGTGTGTGTGTGTGTGTGTGTGTGTGTGTGTGTGTGTGTACCTACCTCTGACAGTGCTGAGGGAGAAGTGGTTGCAATTCTTGTGC